CTGGCCGTGGCACCATCATGATCGGAGGTTTTGTTAGGAACAACTTGAGCTGCTCAAAGGCTATGTCTGCCTCCTCCGACCAGGAAAAACACTCGGAAGCCTTGAGGAGTTTGAAGAACGGTAGCCCTTTTTCGCCGAGGCGTGATATGAAGCGGCTTAAAGCAGCCATGTAGCCTGTAAGCTTTTGTATATCCTTGACGCATGTTGGCCGTTACATGTTGGTGATGGCAGAGACCTTGTCAGGATTGGGCTCAATGCCTCGTGTGCTGACAATGTAGCCCAGGAGTATACCAGATGGAACTCCAAAGATGCACTTTGAAGGGTTCAACTTCCATCGGTACCTTTTAAGGTTGGCGAACGTTTCTTCGAGGTCGGCGATAAGATCATCGGTGGTCTTGGACTTGACGACCACATCGTCGATGTAAGCTTCGACATTGCGGCCGATTTGTTGATTGAGGCACATCTAAATAGCCCTTTGATAAGTCGCCCCGGCGTTCTTGAGTCCAAAGGACATGGTGGTGTAGCAGTACGCACCGAAGGACGTGATGAACGACGTCTTAATCTGGTCTTCTTCCTTGAGGGAGATCTGGTGATAACCAGAGTAACAGTCAAGGAAGGAGAGCAGTTCGCAGCCGGCAGTGGAGTCTACAACCTTGTCTATCTGAGGCAGACCGAAGGGGTCTTTGGGGTAGTATTTGTTAAGATCAGTGTAATCAATGCACATTCTCCATTCTTTATTCTTTTTTTCGAACGAGAACAGGGTTTGCTAACCACTCAGGATGATACACTTCTTTTATGAATCTGGCAGCTAAGAGCCATTTTATGTCTACCCTAATAGCCTCCTTCTTGTCTGGCGCGAATCTATGGAGTTTCTGCTTGATCGGTTTGGTGGTCAACAAGATATTTAAGGAGTGCTCGATCTTCTCCTGTGGTACCCCCGGCATGTCTGTAGGTTTCCAAGCAAACACGTCGGCGTTGGCACGTAGGAAGAAGACGAGCGCGCTTTCCTATTTGGGGTCAAGGTGAGCCCCAATCTTCACGGTCTTGGAGGGGTCATTGAGGCCGAGGCCAACCTCCTTGATTTCCTTGGACTTGGCGGAGGCGCGAGGAGGCTCCAACTCTGGGGTCTCCATGTCGTCGGCGGGCACCGTCTTGGCTTCGGTGACCATGCTAGCCATCTGGATGGAGAGGTCGGTAGCTTCGACGAGGGCAAGACTCTCTGTCTCGCAGGCGTAGGCGATGGAGAGGTTGGCCCGTAGGGCCAGGATTCCTATAGGCGAAGGCATCTTCAAAGACTGAGATATGAGTGGTGACCATGAACTTGGCCAAAACTTGGCCGGGCGTGGTAGTAGGCGGTGTTGAAATCGGTGGACATAAAGTTGATGTGCTCGGACGTGGTAGCGTGGTAGGGTGATCTCCCAAGCGGTTTGGAGGCCCTACTGTGACCACACCCTAAAAGGAGGGTGAGGTGTGAGATCGATAACCCGAGGCCTAGCTCCTTTAGGGCTCCAACGAAGAGGAGATTCAAAGCACGACCACCGTCGTGCCAGCAAAAAGCACCTTATGGATGGTTGCGTGCGATCTCTGGGGATGAGCCCTTTGGTCGGCCTTCTTTGAAGGTGATGGGGACATCAGACCATGGGCGATAGCTGGGGTTGGCGGTGGCGTTTTCCGTAGTGACGGCGAGCACCCATCGTGCGGCAAGCTTCCATTCTCTTCTACTCTCGGTGGAGGCGAGGCCCCCAAAGATGGTGGCGACCACCTTGTTGTGGTCCTAGAAGGCATTGTTATTGCCCCTAGGTGGTTGGTGGCCTCCAAATCCATCGTTGGTGTCATCGTCCAGCTTTTTGTCCTGGAACTCCTTAGCCAAACCGAGGCAGTTCTTCATCTTGTGCTTGGCATTCTTATGGAGAGGGCATGGGCCGTCAAGGATCTTCTTGTACTACTTGTCGTAGTTGCGCTTGACGCGAGGTTCATTGACGGCAGCGACGATGTGGTCTGGCCGACGACGGCGATTTTGACCAGACTTGGGCTCTTTTGGCCAATCACGATTGCTGTCACGATGGTAATTGCGGTCGTCGAAGCGGCGGTCGTTGTGGCATCGGTCATCGAGGTGGTCGTCATAGCAGCGTGTTGGGCGATGAGTGCCCGCATCCTCATTGAAGCGCACCTCGGCTTCCTCGGCGTCGGCGTACTGGTTGGCGGTTGTGATCATCTCGCCAATCCTAGTGGGCGGCTTGTGGTTGAACTTAGAGCAAAGCTCACGGTGATGGAGTCCTCGGATGAAGGTGGTGATGACCTCGGCTTCCGTGATGTTTGGAATAGAATTCCTCTTCTCAGAAAAGCATCGGATGTAGCTGCGGAGGAGCTCGGACGGCTTTTGGTTGATGCGGTTTAGATCATGCTTGGTGCCGGCCGAGTGCACGTAGCCATGTAATTGTCGGTGAAGACTTTTTTCAGCCCTTCCCAGGATTCGATGGAGTCCAGGGCAAGGCTTGTAAACCAGCTCATGGGTGGCGGTGTGAGCATGACGGGAAAATAGTTCGCCATGACACTGGTGTCTCCTCCGACGGCCCTCGGATAGCAGTGGCGTAATCCTATAGCCACTGTGTTGGGTTCATCCTTCCTTCGTAGGGCTCGACCCTAGTGATTTTGAAACCACGAGGCGACTGAAGTGTTTGGAGCCCTTGTGAATGCTTGGGGTCCCTCGGGGTTATCGACGCCATCGTCTGCAACGTTGCCGTCGGTGAGCGGCTCGAGAGCTAAGTTTGGGTTACTGTACTCTTGCTCATACTCCTGGCGGTGGAGTACTTTGTCTTCATGGTGACTGAAGCGGCGTTCGTCGATGCATCGTCGTGCATCTCAAAGATTGTTGAGGTGCACTCGGACGTCCTGGTCGACCTCCTGGTCGGGTTGGCGGTGATGTTCAATGCGGTTACCCCTAGCTCCGCCCTGGAGGGGTTGCCTGTCGTCGCGGCGCTGGTTGGTGAAGTGACTTGGGCGACGATCGAATCTTGTGGCGACTGATTGGTGAATCAAAGTTGTGGAGTATGAAGGTCTTTGTTCCTGGCGGATCTCATTGACCTGACAATGCACCGCTTTAAGCATTACGACGACCTTGGCGACCTCCGGTGTCTGTGGGAGCCGGGCGAGCTCATTGGCGGCCATGGCTAGGTTGGCGCTTGGAGTCTTGTAGACGTCGTGGCCGTCAACGCGGAGAAACTCATCGTCGAGGTTGCGCTGGAGTGGCCTTTCTTGCGAGTCAAGCTGTTGCTCGGCCATCGCAAGGGTAATCTTGTTTGCTCAGCGTTGTGCGCGGTTGACGTTCCGGTTCTCATGAGCGGTGCGTTCCTCCTCGGTTTCACCGTTCCAAGGGGGCTGTCGACGCTGACGTTGAAGATTGCGCCACCACGGAACGGAGGGAGAGAAAGTTGCTTCGATGAAGGTTTTGGCGAGGGTCTCCGTAGAGCCCTAGGACTCGGAGTCTAAATTCTCCTCCGGGATGGTCTGGAGGGACGCTCCAGAGCGTTGGGCGACGTGGAGCATGTTGACGGCCGGCGGAGGCTGGTCGGCGATCTGGTCGGCGAGAGGATGGATGTCTCCCACCTGGTCGGCAAATTTGCCTCTTAGGGCGTCTTGGAAGGTGGCGGCGATGTTGGTGAGCCCGAAGTGCAGAGCCGCAACTTCTGGAGTTTTCCGAGCAGCAGCCCGGTAGATTTGGATCGGAGGGTGGTCGGCGCTGGACTAGAGTGTCTAGAGCCGATTCGGCGATGGAGAGGCAATCGGTGAACTTCTGACCAACCTGATCGATTGATACGATCAGATCGTCGTTGTTCATCTGCCTCCTCTAGTAGCGAGGAAGTGGGCGGCGAGTTGTTGATGAAGACGACCTCGGAGGTGGTTCCGAGATCGGATCTGCAGTCACAGGTGCGGGGGTGATCGGCGTAGAATCGATCTGCACCGGCTCGAGGAGCTCTCCGACTCCGTCAGCGTTGATGATCCATGAGATCGATCCGACCATGAAGATCTGGCTGGGTTGTGGGAGGGACGAAGAGCCTATGGAAAAACCATCTTGTTCGACAAGGAAACAACACGTAGTCCCCTATTTGGCGCGCCAACTGTCGACAGAATATCATCGACAGTCCTCCGAGGGATATCCCACGAAGGTAGATTGATCGGTAGAGAAGCGTGAGATCAAAAACAAGAAGGCAACAGAGACACACGAGTTAAACAGGTTTAGGCCATCAGTATAACGTAATACCCTACTCCTGTGGTCTGTTGGTTTATATTAGCTATCGTATGATATTGCGTGAGTTTGGAGGGGTCCTCTGCCTTTATATAGTCCGGGTAGCAGGGTTACAAGTCGGGATCTGAGAGATAACCGGAAAGTAATAACTGATTATAAGAATCTTGGGATCATACATATCCTAACAGATCTCGTAGTATCTTCAGGATATCTTCTAGATGTTTTGTGGGAGACGCCGAGCAGAGTCGTGCCCCACACGACTTCGTCTTGTGGGTTAGATCGCCCCTGAGAGCGCAGCCCATGTGGTCTGTCGTGGGTATCCGGGGTCGTACCTCCATAGCTCCGTCCTCCGAGCCATGGGGTGCACGAGGGACGAGGATCAACCGTTGTCGTCGCTGGGGAAGAGAATGGGTGAGAGGAGGAAGAATGGACGCGGTTGCTCCAGTGGGGAAGAAGGGGGAGTGGACTGGGTTTGACTCGGAGCTGGGCCGGCTGGAGATAAAAGAAGGAAGCGAGGGACAGCATGGTCATTTCACGTGCTAAGTTAGGGTTCTTAGGCTTTCTACCACGCTAACACGTACACTTTAGCAAAAAATAATAAAAACATAAGAGAGTTACCGCTCACGATAGCAATCAGCAGAGACGCGCACAAAAGTGGCAAAAACGAAGGAAAGCGAGGATGACAAAAAAAAGTTTAAAATCCCTGTGTCTCTCGCAGGCGGCAGGCCAAACAAAAGCGCCGCCGGCGGCGGCAATGTTCCGCCGCCTCCTCCCCCACCGCCGCCACATCTCCTCCTCGTCCGCCTCCAACTCCACCCCTACCCTCTACTCTGAAGGAACCATCCCATTCTCCCTCCTCTCGTGGGGCCGTGGCGCTTCCGGACAGCTCGGCGGCGGCAAGGAGGAGCGCCGCCTCTACCCATCCCCCGTCGCCCACCTCCTTCTCCCCGAATCAGACCCACGCCTTGCGCCCACCCCCGGACGCCTTCCCTCTGCAGGGGAGACGTCTGGAGTGGAGGTTGGGATCTCCTGCGGGCTCTTCCACTCCGCGCTCCTCGTCGAAGGAGGCGCCTGGGTGTGGGGCAAGGGCGACGGAGGCCGCCTCGGCGTCGGTGACGAGTCTTCCGCCTTCGTGCCCCGCCCTAACCCCAACCTCCGCGATCTCCGCCTCCTCGCGCTCGGCGGCATCCACTCCGCCGCGCTGACCACCTCCGGTGACGTCTTCACCTGGTGAGGAAACTGCCACATTGCTGATTTGAAGATTGCTATCGAAAAGTTTAGTATGTATACTTCATGTGATTAGATAGTTAATTTAGTAGTCTCTTATTACTCCATGAATGAAACTTTGTGACGAATGGATTGCATTTTGATGGATGTGGCTGCTGCATCACTCAGTTTACTGTAGTCTGCAGGGGTTATGGTGGGTTTGGAGCTCTGGGGCACTATGTATACCATAGGGAGCTTTTGCCAAGGCAAGTTAATGGTCCATGGGAAGGGAAGATAACACACATTTCTACTAGTGGAGCGCATACTGCAGCAATCACCGACTCAGGTCGGTCTGATTCACTCATTGTAAACTATAGTTTTGAATCATCTGATACCGTCCTTTGCAATCAGATGGTGGTAATATCACTAGTCATTCCGTTATGGTCTTTGCTGCAAATGAAACTACTCGTCTCTGATCGTTGCACTTTGCTAACAGGTGAACTTTACACTTGGGGTCGTGATGAAGGTGATGGTAGGCTGGGGCTTGGGAGTGGAGGTGGTCCAGGTGAAGCTGGCTCCCTCAGTGTTCCTTCCAAGGTGAATGCATTGCCTGTTCCAGTTGCTGCTGTAGCTTGTGGTGGCTTCTTCACAATGGCTCTTACTTCAGATGGACAGTTATGGAGTTGGGGAGGTTAGACTCTGACTAAACATCATCCAACAACTCATACTGCCATACACATTACTGGTAGATAGTTGTTTTGTCCAGTTAGCATAGCAGTAAATAGCCAGTGTTTGTTAGCATATCCAGACCCTTCATATCATTATCAGGCATAGATTAGATGATTTTGTTATTGTCCCTGAAGTGCAGTTAAGCTGCTTCAATCCAGGTGAACAGAATCTCTGTCATGCCTTTTTATGCTTTCAGTTGGCCACCCTCCTAAATTGACACTTTAAATTATCAAAGCCAATATGAGCATTGGCAAAACATTCCTGAACTGGTGTGCATCTATTCCTTCTCCAATTGTCATGATGCTAGAGTCTGCACCTTTTTATCCTGTTTTTCTTTTAAGTTTGATGGCAAAGGAATGCATCCCTTCATTTTTTTTTGAATTTACTGTAGGATAATTAATTGTTAAGTTCTGGTTGCACCCCTCATTTACTTATTATCAGCTTCAGTTTTCCCTTATGGCTGTTATCAATTTACTGATGTGCTGAATATTTGCATTTCGTGTATCATTTCCAGCAAATTCAAACTTCGAACTGGGTAGAGGAAGCAATTTCAGTGATTGGAGGCCACAGCTTGTCCCTAGTCTGAAAAGTATCCGTGTAATCCAAGTAGCATGTGGTGGATACCATTCTTTAGCTTTGACTGGTAAGTTATTAGAACCTGCAAAGTCTGATCTTTCACAAACTTTTTTTAGAACCTACATGAACCAACAGAAAGCCACTGTATTTGTAAAGAGAGAGATTTGTTTCAGTCATATTAACTATTAGTTTCAAACTGCAGTTGTAGTGAACACCTTATATAGTACACTGGCTGTTGCACCATAGCATTATATCATTTTATGAAATGTCTCACCACTGTTACAGATGAAGGTGAAGTTCTCTCTTGGGGGCATGGTGGGCATGGACAACTTGGGCATCCCACCCTTCAAAATCATAGAATCCCACTTGCCCTCAAAGCTTTGTCTGATGAGCGAATTGTCCATATAGCCTGTGGAGGATCAACCTCTGCTGCTATATCAGGTGAAATTCAGAGAACTCTTCTCTTAGTTGTCCAGTACTCCGTTGTTCTATGAGTTACTCTTGACATGTGGTTGTTGGTTTCACTTATCTATCATTTCTTATGTAGCTGACTAAAAATATTCTAGAAAAGAAAATCTTGGTCTACAAAAACCTAATAAATGTCTCTGCTGGTGATCAGCAGGAAATGTCAAAGGATATACCACCTATGATGACATGCAAACTGAATGAGATTCTGTATTTTGAATACGACTCTAGCGATGAACACACCCTTTAATTCAGAATATGACAGAGAAAATCTCTTTCATGGCAGTTTGTGGTATCGTTTAGTTTGTTAGGAAATGCTAAAGAAGTGCATTTACTTTAACTAAAATATGGACTGCTTAAGTTGTATAAAGGTCACTTTTATCTGGCATGAGGTTGATCTACTTTGTGGATCTTGGTTGCTTTGCTTTACTGTGATTCTACATCATGCCGCCTATTGACTAAATGCAGATAATCAAGTTTCCTCTCTGTAAACAACACATGAACTTACTTTTGTTCTTAATTGTCTGGGCAGACAAAGGTGACTTGTACATGTGGGGAAATGCAAGAGACTGCCAGCTAGGCGTCCCTGGTCTGCCAGAAGTTCAGCCACTCCCAGTCAAGGTGAATTTCCTCAGAGACGATGATAAAGCTTTGGGCCCTTCTCGTGTCATCTCCGTTGCAATAGGAGCCTCCCATGCCATGTGCTTGGTCTCCATGCAACAAACTGAGAAATAGGGCAGCCTGGGTTTCTCCTTTGTGAAGGCGCTTATGTTTCGGCATTCATACATCGGAGTTCATTTCGAAGAGGATCTTGTTCTCTTCTGATTCGATCCTGCTGTTCCAGTTGGTGGAAACTGCCAGGAAAGGCCCTGATTCGATTCCTTCTCAGTTAAGTTGAACACATCTGCAAGAAAGAATAAAAAAACTGCCACACGCTGATAAAACCAGGAAAGGTCCTGTGGCTGGCACCGGGTAGGCATAGCTGTAGTAGATTCGAATCCTTAAATTTTTATCACTGAAAGTTCTTATTTGTGTAGACATTGTTCTTGGTTTTCTGTAGCACTGTAACATGAGGGATGAAACTGCGAGAAGCGTGAATGTACAACATGCACCCTTGTGCGTTCTCACCAAAGATTTGTAGATTCTGTTTGTAGTTGAGATGGCCAGAATTTTGTGGTGCTAATTTTTACTGTGACTCTGGCAGGAGGCCTGGTTCTAGTTGCTGTTCAATAAAAGCAACCAGATGTTTTATTCCTCAACTCATCATTCATTTGTACCTTAGCAATCCAGAGTTGTTACCTCATCATCATCCATGCATTTTTTTGTCAAAGCATATTAGCAGAATCACCCTTCCAGGCAGCTGCTTTTGTAATCCAAGGGGGAAATTTTGAGGCTACAGTTGTTTGTGCAGTAACTATCTGCCTGATGGGGTGAACATGCAGCCTGCTTGAAGTAGCCAGATTCAGAAGGGCGTCAGTGCGTCGCGGTACGACGATCTTGAAAAGAAAACTGAAACTGCCGCATACGGAAGTCCTTGTGGCTAGGGCATGCCACTGGTAGCAATTGTGTTCCACTGTATCCTGATTGATGATTGCGGTTCCTGAAGTTTTGATTGATAAACCGTGTGCTTATAGCAGCAGCTTTGTGTGTGCAAAACGGATAACAACGATATACATGCACTAAGTTGAGTTGACATCAGTGGGTGAGATTGATCATAACGTTAAAGTGATAGGATGAATTTTTCGAAAATAGTGCACCCTGTGTACAATCTCGGAGTGAAAGATAATACGTGTGAAAGATTTGCAGAATGCTTGAATCTCGCTATGTGTGAAAGATAATATCTTTGCCCGGGAGCAATCGGGAATAAGAACGGGTGGACGCCTTTGTTCGTTTCCTCGCGTCGTGTTTCGGCCGCCGCCGCCGCGCCGTCCAGCCCAGGCGGTCCACCTCGTCGAGCCGTCGTTCGGGGCTCTCATCCTCAGGTACCGTACTACTCTCCCTTCAGCTCCCTCCTCTCCTCTGGCAGGGCGGCAGCGCTTTGAGATTTCGTAGGGGCTCTCATCCTCAGGTACCGTACTACTCTCCCTTCAGCTCCCTCCTCTCCTCTGGCAGGGCGGCAGCGCTTTGAGATTTACTTTTTTCGTGTATGCCATTATAAAAGATCCTTCAGCTACTTGACTTTTTGGTCCTCCTCGTCGGTTCAGGCTCTAACGCCTAAAGTGCTCTCCTCTGGCAGGGCGGCAGCGAAAAATCATCATATTTTTTTTGAGATTTTACAACCAGTTTTTTTATTTGGTTTGTCTGGTCAGGCATTTTGTCTTTTCAGGTCCTTCGAAGTGTATACCAAGACCACTGAATTTTTCCGAAAGAGGCTTGAGAGGACAGATCTTTTATAATGGTATACGCGAAAAATCTTTTCCCATTGGTTTGTCTGGTCGAATCCATCCTTTGCGAATCCATCTTATTCTTTTTTTTTATTTGTTTCAAAATGTATACGGTGCGAATCGTGTGGTTGTTGGCTCCGTTTGGTCTCATTCGTCAAGTTTAACAACATACTGCAAATCCCCGACGTTAAGGAAGCTGACCATGGGAGCATTGCTTGTAATTGCTGCCTGACGATTCTGTTGCTCTGTCTCAGCATCCATCCCTCTTGCCAAGCTAGGAGCTCGTGGGTCGTGGCTTCCCCCTGCTGTTATGATCACCACCCAGTGGGCTCGTCAGATCGCACGCCTGCCCATGCGGGCAAATTCAGGGGACAAGCCTTGCATGCCCACCTCAGCCACTACACCTTCCTCCTTTGCTGTCAGGCAGCGACCTCCCAGTCCCAGATTGGGTTTGGTTCACACATCATCCTTCAGCTCCCAACACAACCAATTCACAAGAAGCGCCGCCGCAGGTTACTAAGCTCATTATTAACCATCTGAATGCAGGAAAGTGGGGTCTTCCTTTGCTACCTGACTGACTGAGCTTTCTAGTAGGTCCTCTTATTATGGCTGGAAGGGAGTTGGTTGGCAAGGATAAGCTTGTGCTTAGAGGCTCGCAGTTCCATGGCTTCCATGGTGTCAAACAAGAAGAAAAGACTCTGGGCCAGAAGTTTGTTGTGGACGTGGATGCCTGGATGGATCTGAGCACCGCTGGCGAAACCGACAGCATCTCTGATACGGTTAGCTACACAGATATTTACAGGTAACGGTACTCGTATATTTTGTTGTTGGGCATATTTTCCTTCCTGACTCAATACTTCATACATTCATGTCAGCAAAGTCCTGATTTTGTGCCTGTGCTCTGCAGGATTGTCAAGGATGTGGTTGAAGGCCCATCTCAGAATCTTTTAGAGTCAGTGGCTCACCGTATTGCGAGTGCCACATTGTTTAAGTTCTCTCAAATATCTGCTGTCCGGGTAGAAGTGAAGAAGCCCCATGTTGCTGTACAAGGAATTATCGACTATTTAGGTGTTGAGATAGTTAGGCATAGAAAGGACATGGCTGGGAGTTCACCAGGAGCTGAGTAGCATACTGAGGATGACATGTCAATGTTCCGTATGTCGCCCCCGACGGTGTCTCAATCACTGCTCAGTGTTGCGTTTCTTCAGATTAATGGACTGCAACATTTTGTACTGGATGTTGCTCTCAGAAGCTGTTCACCTTAAAACTTATCTAATTTTATTGGGGTTGAAGTATGCATTGTAAGTTTCTTCTAGCCAAAGCTTGGATGGAGATGGTGTTGTGTCCCTCTTGATATTTTGCGTATCACACCTTCCTTCCCTGGTTTCTGGTCTGTGGTTCTGTAAATTTTGAAGACTCTTCTGTTTTATTCTATCAAAACTGTGAGCAAATAGGAGCTGTCATGTGGGCCCCATGTAATTAGCTCAGATTTCTTTACTGACATTGGAAATAGCAACACCAATGAAACTTTCTTTTACCTATGAGACCTCCATCAAACTTGTTGCACTGTGAGATTTCCTTGGCTGTTGCGTTGGCTGTGATACCTATGTATGAAGTGCCTCCAGCGATGTTCCGTTGGTTACTTCCCTCTTTTAGTGAATAATACGAATACACAGGTTTTAGGTTTTGTTGGCTCCTGGGTCTTCGGAACGGGTGAGCCAACCATTCCCGACGTTTCCGACCACACACTATGGCTAGAGGTAGAAGAAAGAAGGGAGAACAGCGTGCGCACACACAACACAAGCATTAGCATTGGCCGAACCTCTGCAGAGGAGATGGCAAAACTGAACTCGCTCTCTTTACTGAGTTGCAGTGGGAAACTATATATACAAATCTACCCATCTAATCCTAGTACACAGACATGTCAGGCTGCCAAGCTGCTACAATGACTAGATGTGATGGCAGGGCTGACTTTGGTGTCTGCTCCTGCTGCTATGGCTATAGTGCGGCAGGGGAGCCTTTCAACGCTTGCCCCTGCAGCGGCTACAGTGCTTCAGCAGGGAGCCCTTTTGGCGCCTGCCCCCTGCCACGCATTCACATAGGGGAGCAACAGATTACTTAACAATTTTTCCATAATCCTGCTGCTAACCCTAGAACCCTCTCCATGCCGACCATCTTCTTCAGCCGAGCGGTTTGGTGAGGACGTCCGCGAGTTGCCGATCAGTTTTGACGAACTCAATGACGATCTGCCCTCTATCGATACAGTCCCTGAGGAAGTGGAACTTGACGTCGATGTGCTTGCTCCGGTCCTGGAGGACCGGATTCTTCGCGAGAGCGATGGCGGGCTGGTTGTCCACCATCAGTGCTGGTGGGTGAGTTTCCACACCGGTCAGCTCGCCCAGCAGTCGGCGCCGCCACACAGCTTGGCACGCCGCTGTGGCTGCCGCCACGTACTCTGCCTCGCACGTGGACAGCACCACCACCTTCTGTTTCAGCGACAGCTATGAGATTGGAGTCAACCCGAGGAAGATGAGCACACCAGAGGTGCTCCGCCGTCCGTCGATGTCCCCCGCCATGTCTGCATCGCTAAACACAGTGAGATGCAGCCTACTTCCACTGGTCTTGGGGAAGACGATCTCCTGATCCACCGTACCCTTGATGTAGCGCAGCATCCACTTCACCGTGGCCCAGCGATCCTCTGGGGGATCCTCCATGAAGCGGTTGACGTAGCCCACGGCGAACGCAATGTCCGGCCTCGTGTGGACTAGGTAGCTCAGACCACCGACGATGCTCCGGTAGAGTGTTGCATCTACCTTCATCGCGGTGCTGGGCCTTCGTCAGCTTTAGTGGCTCCTCCATCGGAGTCACGCATGGCTTGCACTCAGCCATGCCGCTCTGCTCCAATAGCTTTGAGGCGTACGCGCTCTGACCGAGCATGAGCGCATCCTTCCCCTGTCTCACCTCGATGCCGAGGTAGTAGGAGAGCGCGTCGAGATCGCTCATTCGAAAACGAGCTGCCATCTCACGCTTGAAGCTGTCGATGTCCTCCGCATGCGCGCCGGTGACGATCAAGTCGTCTACATACACGCCGACGATGAGCTCCTCCTTCCCCCGTCGCTGTGTGTAGAGCGCGTGCTCGGTTGCGCACCATGTGAACCCAAGCTCGCCTAGCGTGGAGTCAAGCTTGGCATTCCACGCTCACGGGGCCTGCCGCAGCCTGTAGAGCGCCTTGTACAGTCGGAGCACCTTGTGCTCCGCTCCCTTGACGACGAAACCCGGAGGTTGCCTGACGAAGACCGTCTCCGCTAGATCGCCATTGAGGAAGGTCGATTTTACGTCCAGATGATGAACACGCTAGTCCTTCGCTACTGCCAAAGCCAGCAGCAGTCGGATAGACTCCATGCGCGCTATCGGCGCAAAGAGTTCCTTGAAGTCGATGCCCTCGCGCTGGACAAAGCCTTGGGCGACGAGGCGCGCCTTGTGCTTGACAATGGCGCCGCGCTCGTCCCTCTTGACCTTGTACACCCACTTCAGGCCGATCGGATGGCATCCTGGATGTGGATCAACGAGCTCCCAAGTCTCATTTTTCTCGATCGCCTTCATCTCCTCTAGCATCGCCCGTCGCCAATTTGCGTTGCTCTCGGCCAGCATGAATGTGGGTGGTTCCTCTGCACTGACAAGAAGCAGCTCTAGGTCATTGAGCAGCCGACCCGCTAGGCCTAAGGGCCCTGTGTCGCCGATGATGTCGTCTAGCCTACGGAACCGCATCTCGTCATCGTCGTGGAAGACATCCACGAACTCAGTGATGTCGCTTAGAGGTGAGGCGAACTTGATCGGCGTCGATGGAGTTCCCTATTCCGCTAGAGTTAGCATAGCACCTGGAGTGCTTGGCACCCCGGCTGTAGTGCTCGGCACTACTCCTAGACCGCTCGTCACCACTCCTGGAGTGGTCGGCACCACTGTAGGACCTCTCGGCTCCGCTACAGGAGTGTTCGACACCCGTCCTAGAGTGGTCGGCACCATTGCAGAACCGCTCGACACCACTCCTAGAGTGCTCAGCGCCCCTCCCGGAGTGCTCGGCACCGCCCCATGAGTGCTTGGCTCTGTTGCTGGAGTGGTCGGCACCTCCTCTCCAGCATCTCCACCACCGTCGATGACCAAGTGCTTGACGATGAAGGTGCTGGTGATGCCGCCAGCTTCCCCCGTGCTCGAACTGTCCTAATCCCAGGCCGCCTTTCATCGAACACAACATCGTGTGAGACAACCACCTTGCCTCCGTGTGGGCCGTAGAGCCGGTACGCCTTGGTACCTTCCGCGTAGCCTAGGAACACCATCGGTGTGCTCCTGTCCTCCAGCTTGGTGAGGACCAGCTTCATCTTCTTGACGTGGCCGATGTAGCCGAATGTCTCGAGGAAGGACATGTTTGGCTTGCGCCCATACCAAGCTTTGAACGGTGTCTTACCTTTCAGGGCCTTGGTGGAAGCGTGGTTTAGGATGAACACCGCCGTGGTCACCGCCTCACCCTAGAACCTTGCCGGCATGCCCTTGGCCTTCATCATGGATTGAGCCATGCCGACCACCGTCTGGTTCCACCGCTCCACCATGCCATTCTACTGTGGCGAGTACGACGCGATGGGGTGTCGCACCACACCCTGATCCACGCAGTACGCAACGAACTCCACTAAAGTGAATTCGCCACCGCGATCAGTCCTTAGCATGTGCAGCTTCTTGCCGCTCTCCGCCTCCGCGCGCGCCTTGAACTTCTTGACTGCTTCCACCGCCTCGGTCTTGCTGGTCAGAAGCTGCATCCACATGTGCCGATTGCAGTCATCCACCAGCAAGATGAAGTACTTGCGCCTACCGAGCGTCGCCGGCGTGATCGGCCCGCAGAGGTCACCATGGACCAGCTCGAGGGTCTCTACCACGCGATACTTCACCGTCTTCGGGAACGACGACCTTCGTTGCTTCCGGCCAGGCAGTTGTCACACAGCTCGCCTGTGTGCTCGATGTGAGGCAACCCGATCACCATCTTCTCCAGCCAACCAAGAGCGTCAAAGTTGAGATGTCCATACCGGGCATGCCACAGCCATGGCTCCTCCGTGTGCCGTGCAGCCAAGCAGATGGGCTGCTCAACCTTGAGGTCGAGCAGGTATAGCCAATTCGGGACCTCTTCACCTTAGCAAGAAGCCGCTGCTCTCGGTCCCTGATTCTGAGGACACCGTCCTTGATCAGTACCTCACTGCCGCGCTCATCCAGCTGGCCAATGCTGATGATGCTTGAACGCAGCTGCGGGATGTAATATACATCCATTAGCGCGCGATGCTCACCGTTCTAGCACCTAAAGATGATGGTGCCGCGCCCTCGGATCGCCACCCTTGAGCCGTTACCGAACTTCACCGTACCGGTCATGTTGCCGTCGAGCTTGAAGAAGGCTTCCTTGGAGCCCGTCATGTGGTTGTTGGCGCCGGAGTCCAGGTACCACCGCTGTTCCTGTCCGTCGCCCACATGTCTAAGGTGGACTTGGGCACGGTTCATCGAGGTGGATAGCCTTCAGAGCCTTCCCTAGACCCTTCCACCGCCATCCCCTCTCCCTTCTCCTTGGCCTCAATGTCGTGCAGTGCATAGAACATCGCCATCAGGAGAGTAGCCTCATCATCATCATCAGCCTGCGCCAGATGAGCCTCAGCCTTCTTCTCTTGCTTGCGATTTGTGCACTCCTTTGCCTAATGGCCCGTCTTTCCGCAGCGCCGACAAATGTTGGGGTCGACCTTCTTCTTCTTCTCCGAAGAAGCCTTGCCGCGGCGCTTGCCATCGCCACCGCGGCTAGAGGAGGCTTCCCCGGACTTCTTACTCCGGGCAGCCCACTCCTCCTCTGTCAGCAGCAGCTTGCCGCTGTCCGTCGTTGCTGTGGCCTACTCCATGCGCTCGTCCGCCACCCGCAGATGGCCTATCACATCCTCAATGGTGAGGGTGGATAAGTCCAGCATCGTCTCTATGGAAAGAGCGATCTGGATGTACTTCATCGGCACGGAGTGGAGGTACTTGGAGTCCGCCTCTTCTTCGTCGATGGTGACGTCGTATCTCCTCAACTTGCTGATGAGCATCTGCAGGCGGAGAGAGAAGTCCTCCACCGATTCACCATCCTTAAACTTGAGGTTGGCGTACTCCTGCTTCAGCAGCTGGGCTATTGCCTTCTTTGCGTGGTCGGAACCGACGCGCATCGCCGCAATGGCCTCCCACGCCTCCTTAGCAGAGCTCTTCGTCCCCAACGGCTCCCTGTACTCTGCTGGCACAGTAGCGAGGATAGCCTTTAACGCTGACATGTTGTCTTCTTCGTTGTCGGTGCCCTTGTCAATAGCATTTCAGAGCCGTCGGGCTCTAAGCTTGACCTTCATGGTCACCGCCCACTCACCGTAGTTGGTGCGAGTCAGCGTCGGCCAACTGGTGCCGCTGACCTCCCGTACTGTGCGCACGACGACCTCCTGTCGTGGCTGGGCAGCCACGGCAGCACCGCTGCTGTCGCCCATCTCCAAACCGTCCGTCATCGCCAGCAGTTAGTCCGGCGACGGCGCTTGTACGGCTTCGATATCACTTGTTGGCCCCTGAATCTTCGGAACGGGTGAGCCGATCACTTCCCAGCATTTCTGACCACACACTATGGCTAAAGGTAGAAGAAGGAAGGAAGAACAGAGCACGCAAACACACAGCACAAGCACCAGCGTTGTCCGAAGCTCTGCAGAGGAGATGACAAAACTGAACTCGCTTTTTTTACTGAGTTGCAGTGGAAAACTATATATACAACTCTACCCATCTAATCCTAATACACAGATATGTTAGGTTGCCAAGCTGCTACAGTGACTAGATGTGACAGCAGGGCTGACTTTGGCGCCTGCCCCTGCTGTGGTTACAGTTCAGCAGGAGAGCCTTTCGACGTATGCCCCTGCAGCGGTTACAATGCAGTAGCAGGGAGTCCTTTCGACGTCTGCCCCTGCCGTACGTTCACACAGGAAAGCACCAGATTACTTAACAAGGTTGAGCCAATAATAATATCCTAAACAGAACACCAAAGTCTTCTTGAGCAGAGGAGGAAAGTGACGTGGACGGTTGGGTTAGGTGATCCTTACCTTTCTGGTTTCCAAGAGGCTCACAAGGACAGGTTGTCTGTCCATTCTTTTAGTTCATTGCTTCGTCTCTACTCCCAAACCTGATTAATGCCTTGCCTCCTTTTTGTACTCTCCTGCTAAAGCTATTTTCTGAAACCAGTATATCCCCATTTGTTTGATTCTAACGTTTTGGCCTTTGGGGGCAAAGCTCTTCCAGCTTGCAGGACTGGAGTCTTCATCGAAACAATTTCTTCACCAGGGACAGCAATGGTGCCGGCGAATGGCGATACGGCCGGACCGAGCTCCAGCCAGGATGACCCGGCAGCCACCATGAAGAAGCGCAACAGGCCTCAGTGTAATCTCTCTCTCCTCAGATAAAGAAGCAGAATTCTATATATTTCTTTTTCCAGCCTGAATTGTAGTGATTTTGATGGCTGGGATGTTTGCCCCATAAACAGAATTCAATGTGCTTCAAACCAGAAAATAAACTCTCTTTCCAAGATTAGGCGATCGTGAATTCATAAAGCTTTTTCTTAATGAAGTGACTAATAAAGCAAAAGTAGCCTAAAGTAATTTATCTATTGGCATTATCTTTGTGGTTTAAATTTGAAACAAGTACTTGTTATGTTTATGACTCTATTCTGTTGATTTTGAAGATCATCCGTTTACTCAGCAACAGCTTCCAGCTTGCAAGCCTATACTCGCGCCTCAGACAGTAAGTTTGATTGTCTGTCTATTCATCATACCTCATTTTTCAGTTCTTTCTCAACATGAGTGTGGTTTAGAAATTCAGAATATGATGATGACTATTGTAACTAACACTGGGCAATGCGATCAGGTTATTCCTGTACTTCTGTTTGTGGGCATAGTTTTTATCCTGATTGGCCTTGGTTGCATTGCAGCCTCAAACAGGGTAAGTTTGAGCTGTGATGTGCATTATTATATATAAACCTGAAATCTGAGCCCGGTTCTGAGAATCCAAGTTTCCTGTAATTTTCTGCTTTCAAATAGGTTGTTGAAGTGGTCTATCAATATGAAACTTCATGCATACCAGGATACATGCTTGACAACAAAGTTGCCTATATCCAAACTCCATCTATAGATAAGACCTGCACAAGGATTCTCAAGGTAAACAGTTATCATCAATAAAAAAAAAGTTAAAAAGGATTTGAAACGCTTCTCTGTTCTCAGTTCAAGGAGAAGGTTTTCATACGATAAGAGACTACTCTTCTCTTTGTAGGTTCCTAAGGATATGAAGCACCCAATCTACATATATTATCAACTTGACAAGTTCTACCAGAACCACAGAAGGTAAAAACCAACTAACGTGACGCCCATTCTCATTTTTCACTGACGAATTTCCATAGAGGCCAAGCTGCTCTGGACTCTGGACTGAAGAACACGTATTGGGAATGGAAAACACAGGTATGTGAAGAGCCGTAACGACAAGCAGCTGATAAATCCTAAGGAGGCCAACAACACGCAGTATTGCAAGCCTGAAGCTACTGAGCATGGGAGCCCCGTCGTCCCCTGTGGACTGGTAGCTTGGAGCCTGTTCAACGACACCTACAGCTTCGCTCGTGGCAACAAGGCGCTGAGGGTTCACAAGCGAGGCATCTCGTGGAGGAGCGAAAGGGAGCACATTTTTGGGAAGCAGGTGTTTCCAAGGAACTTTCAGAAAGGGGCTCTGATCGGCGGCGGTGCGCTTGATCCAAGGATACCTGTAAGTACGTCTGGAGCTTGTTACTGGAAAGCAGGGCTACTTCTCTCTATAATCTATTGTCTGAAATTGTAGATAGGTTCACTACTTTTAGTCTGATATTCAAAAGTCGTGATGCATTGCGAATTCGACAGCTGAGTAAGCAGGAGGACCTGATCGTGTGGATGCGAACCGCGGCGCTGCCGACGTTCCGGAAGCTGTACGGTAGGATCCAGGTGGACCTCCGTGCTGGCGAGCTGATAACGGTGACGATGCAGAACAACTACAACACGTACAGCTTCGGTGGGAAGAAGGCGCTGGTGCTGTCCACGGCGGGTGTGCTGGGAGGCAAGAACAGCTTCCTAGGCCGCGGGTACGTCATCGTCGGCCTGGCCTGCCTCCTGCTGGCGCTGCTCCTCACGATGCTCTGCCTCGTCTTTCCACTGTGAGTTGCCCTGCGACTGCAAATCCATCGCAGCACCTTCAGTTTGCACTCACGATTCAGGAATTGTTGTGTTCACTGTTCAGAGCCTCATTGTTTGCAAATATGGCTGCGTTTGAAATGATTGGGATGGGTTTCTGGTTGCAGGAAAGAGGAACATCTTGCACTGCGGTACCCTTTGCCCCGGCCTGCACGGTGACCATGCGTGCCTAGATGACTCTAGACGGTGTACAGATTGAAACAGTTTCTTTTTTATATATATATACTTGGCCTGATTGGTGTTTTCTTGCGCATAGGAACAGCTATAGATCGAGCTGCGTCATGTAAATATACATTCGACAGATTTTAGTGCTACATTTACATCATATGGTTAAAACTAGATGTACTGTAGCAAGAAGTGGAAATATTCTCGTGATGTTGTGTCCAGAAGAGGGAGCCGCGAGCGACGGCCTCGCCAACACAACCAGACTGGTGCCAAGTGGTGGTCAATACTGCTCGGCTGTGTGTTCAGCAGAGAGGTTTGTTCATCGTGCCTACGGCGACTGCATCTGGAGGAGCTGGTGTCCGTCAATGAGAAGGGTTCCATGCAGCGGTGGCTCACTAACGGGAAGCGGGTACCGAAGCCTTTGCGTCGAGGTTTCGACTCACTATTCTTCCTCATTGGCTGGTCGCTTTGGAAGGAAAGGAACGCCAGAACCTTCAACGGGAGGGCGACGCCGGCGGCACAGCTGCTCCAGCAGATCGCGGACGAATCCAACGATTGGTGCGTGGCAGGATACAGGCAACTAATGTCGCTAATGTCGCTTCTATGAGTAACGGCGCAAGCTAGACGCTACGTCGCAAAATGATCATTGTGTAATCACAACCTCGTGCTTGATGCGTATCACCGGTAATCGTGGGATTACCGTATCCGGGATAGTGTGTAACGAATAATCTTCTTTTGCTTAATGAAAAACGTGTCACGGTACGATCGCGAAAAAAGTGGTGGTCAAGTACAGCGACCGATAATCTCATGTCCTGATGGTTTTTACGGCTAATAAGACGACTGATGCTGTTTTGTTGTGAAAAAAAAAAATACTATACCATGACTGATAAGCCGGGTTGATAAGTTCAAGCAAACAGGGTGAATTAGTTTTGCCTTCTGACTTATTGCACGGCTTGAGCCGCCTGTTTGAAGTTTCTAACTCAACCGATCAAGCCATAGATTGCCACCATGCTCCACATTGTGCCACATCCTTCGCCAGACGCACCTATGCAAGTTTTTTGAAGTGTGGAACATCTTCTTGCACCTCTACATGGTCTTCTTTTATGATTATGGCTCTAATAGCACTTGTCAAAGTGCACGGTTAATCCAAGATACTTTTGGATTACTAACTGAATATAAACATCATATAGAAGAAAAATACATGAACGAGAACTACACCAAGACACATTTTTTGTTAACAAGGTTCCGTTGTCGCCTATGTTCTTGTATCATGACTATGGAAGCTCTCCTTCACTAAAAACAATAGTTACACCAGCATTAGGCTGCTCCTGCAGCCTCGCAACTATCCAAACCAACTCCCAACTCCTGATGCCATCTCATATTCATGAACCAAGAGATACAAAAGTACGACTTAAACTTTACCCATAGCCACCAATTACAACTCAAATCAAATCGTAACCAATTATACACATGTTCGACACATACGTAACCATTGCTTCCTAGCGTGCTTCATTAGTAAGATATTAAGGACACATCTAGTTATTAACCGTTTAACCATTGAATCACAGAGGTTAACACCGGCCACCAGCGTTGTGGCGACGACGAACTTTAGGCAGAGGAAACGGCCGCCGCAGGTGTGGCGAAATTTAACAAAGGAATGAGCCAAAGAATCTTGTGGCTGCCACAACTGAATCACAAGCCAAACACCGGCCAAGTTCCTGTGGCAGCCGTAGTCGTGGCGAGCAACCAAACAGCCCCACAGTCACTGACTTCATGACACAAGGTTCTTTATTACTAAACTCAGTAGTCTTGGTTGCTCTAACCTGCAGTCCCACTAAACTTGTTTTTACAAGTGAGCAACATTGGTCATGCCGCCACCAGCCCACCAGACAATTGACAACAATTAGCTACAGCATGGTGGGCGCACGCACATCATGTCACATGCTGCAGGGAATAATCACAATTGAGTGATTATTTAACAATACAAAATGTGTTATAAAAGTTGAACTTGAGTTCTACTACCATTTAGGGGTTATAGAGTTCAAGTTAGACTCGTAGACATGAAGACAACCTCCAACATAACTGCAAGACAAACGCTGTTTGTTTCCACTTTTACTAGCTCTGGCAGTCTAGCTAACCATAAGCTAAAAGCTGAAAAAACGACATATAGTTGTTGTAATGATTTTTGAACAGCGGGACAGGTGATGGCCATGGCTAATGTGGGCACTGTAGTGGCATTGCTTCACCAATCAAGATGTGGGCATGGCACTGTGTCAAGTCCCTCCTCGCATTAGCGGATAGGGACGACTATCGTCCCGATGTCCGGCCCCAGCAGCGCGTCCGGACGCAGCTCCCACACCAGCCAACCGTGACTCGATACGTGGGCTTGGGCTGGCAATGGAAGCGGTATCCCTTCCCACCAACTGGAGTCCAACGAAAGCCTATTCTTGCCCGCATAACAGAAGGGGAGAGGGCGCGCTCGCGTCCGCGCCGCCATCCCCCAATGCGCCCCCTCCACTGGCCCCCGCCGTGCCCCCTCCGCAGTCTGAGAAGGATGCAAGACAACAGAAGGCAAGGAGGAGACACCGAGGCGAGGCAGCAGAAGGCGAGGAAGGAGATGCAACACTCGATCTACTTCTAAAACATCTAGATGCGATACTTGCAACATATGTCTGAAGGCAGATGAAACACTTGAAACATACATCTGAAACACTTAGAAAAACACATGGAAACCATTGTAAAACATACGCAACATCTAGATAAAACAATTGCAACATATGTGTAAAACATATGCAATATCCAAATAAACACACTTGCAACATACGTCTGAAAAAACCGATGAAACATTGAAAACAGAAGCTTACAACATACGTGTACAACCATTGCAACATATGCAACATCCCAATCTACTTTTGCAATATTCATATGAAACAATTGCAACATACCTATGAAACACTTGAAACATAGGCTTGCAACATACGCTTTCAAGCGCAACATCTACTTGTTGCTTGGACAAAAATGGAGCCTTGTCAACGCGAAGCTCGACGCTGGCGTGGAGCTCGATGCCACGAAAGTGATGCGGAGGTCGCTGGTGTGGAGCTCATCGGTGGCATGGACCTCAGCAGGGGCTGCGGCAGGCGAATGGAGCGCGGCCGCGATGGGTGGTGCGAGCGAGTCCGGGCGGGGGCACGCGCCATGAACGGGGGCGGCGCAGGCGAGGGCGGGGTCTGTCCCGTGAGAGAGGGCGCGCAGAGTGCAGAGCAAAAGGGCAACACGGTCGTGGTCCGTCCAAATGGATGAATGCGTGGCCTATGAGGAGCATTACCGTTAGCGGATCTGATGGGGTATGGACCTGTCTCTTCTGCCACTCCTTTACATAGCGCAAGGGCGATGCCGACTAAGGGGAGGATGACCAACGCTAGAAAGAGGGACCCACCGCCTTTGATCGACATGTGGGACTTTGGTGCCTTTTTTAAACCTTGCTTCTTCCTAGCTCTGTAAGGCGAGGTGGGATACCCCTCACATGGTTACGCACTGTTTACACCAAAATTTGGGAAGAAGAATGCGGAAACTCGAAGCTTCTAGGATTGTGTCATCAAGGAATTGATTGGATGAGAATCGGTATCAGCTGATTTAGATGTAATGTCATAATCGACTATTGTATGGATGACGTCAGCAGATGGCGTCAATGGGCTATATTTGAGTGGCGCCAGGGAGACGTGTCGGACTCTACGAATAAGGAAAATTGGAGTCCAAGTTATTATTAAGTTAGGAAGTTTTCTTTTATTCCAAGAATTGTAGTGAGTCGTATTTGAGTGGGATCTATGTTTAAGTTCTGGGTATAAATATTAGACCCTGGTTATTGTAAAAAGGGACGAACACACAATCAATACAATCTTTCCGGCTTTTGCCATCGCATTAGAAGTAGGAGTACTGTAGATCTCGGTGAGTTCTTTAGCAAACAGGGCTGCATCGACTGATCGACTTCCAGCTTGCTTGTGAGTACCGTCATGACTTGTATTGTGCTTGTAAAGCTGCATCAGCTGATTGATCTTTTATGAGCCATAATATAAGTTAGTTATCGATCTGTATCGTAGTTTATAAGGCTACATCAGTTGATTGATCTCTTACGAATCATAATATAGATCAAAGTTATCGATTTTTTGTTAGATAATTTGTTGTTTAACACAATATCACATATTATCGAATCTGCTGAGATTAGAAAAATTTCCTTGCTACTTTTGGTTGTTTCATCAGTTATCAATCTTGTTATAATTAATGTTTTATTAATTATAACAAATCAGCTGATTGAGATAGAGATAGATCGGCATCATATCATCTTAATTGGTCATCTTCTAGTCTGGTCACGCTTTAAATTTTATGATTGATGGCTTGATTCCGCTAGATCGACTGTTCTATTTCTATTCCAATCAAACATAGTATGCATTCAAAGATATGTTTCAATTTTGAATAAACTTACTAGTTAATAAGATCTAATCTAATGACACTACCATAGCTGCATCGATCCGATTGAACCTCACTGGTAAGACTTTAGATTAGAAATTATCGATTAGTGGTCTTGTTCATGATCAGGATATGTACTTTGTTTGTTTGCTACGGCCGCATCGGCTATTTTAGTCTATTTGCCTATACTCTCACGCATATAGCATGTTTTTCATAAATCTGTCGACATGTAGATGGTTTTATAGATTCTTTGGCTTTAGTTTATCATCATTATCATAGCTGTATCAATCCGATCGAGCCTCACTGTTGATGATAATAGATTAGATTCAAAATGTTTGTAGATTCATTTATATTAGACAGTCGACTTGTTCGCATGCTATACTCTTTTCATCAAACTTATCGGCTCAACACTTTATATCGATCATGTTTCATTTAGCCAATGATGCTTTCTTGTATCGTTTCTTATGGATACGCCGGATATCGACTATTTAGTCGATAGCCTCATTGAATCGGCTATTTAGCCGTACATTTGGAACTATTTGGT